CCAGCAGTAACCGAAACTACTTGTGAAGCATGGACTGGAAATGAAAATAACCGTTTCATACATTTTCCGGAACTTTATAGTTCTACGTGGAAAACGGAAACTGTCAGACAATTGTGTGGGCGGGTTCTCCGACAAAGTAATAAATAACCGACTACTGTGGCCACAGATAAAGAGTGGTCGGTGCAGCAATGACTCATTGATTCTGATGCGGATGTTCTTGATATGTAGAATGTAATGCAGGAATAGCAAGTACAACATGAGAGTTCAAAAAGTTCCGTCTAAAATATAGATGCCCTATCTATTCGATACACTGAATTATGCGGTGAATTATGTAGATGTGTTTGCTTTATTTATGTGCATCTTTGTGTGCACATGTGTTCGGTTTTTTTGGTGTTATGTTTATGTATTAGGGCGGTGGAGATGGGGTGGAAGGGTTAGCATGGTGATCATGATAGAAAGATGGGGCCTTTTAATAAGATTGATGGGGTCAATAACTTGTAAGGAAGACAAAATTTACTGTATCTCTTATGATAATGCACAACAACTACATTTTGAAGGCACAGTTCACGATATTTCTGGGGTATATACTCCAAGACGAATGATGAAGGTGATAGTACAGAACAGTGCAAAAGTGGTGAAGAAAATGCGAAAATCGTCGGGTCTAGAAGATATGAGGCTTCCACAAGTAGTAAAATTAGGGGTTGGATGAGATGTGATGACAAAAGTTGCATGGAAGGGGTATTTGGACGAGTTGTCCAAATGCGTATGCAGAAGTGTACAGCTGGCTACAGTAAGCTGCCTGCGTGCAACTTTGTATCCCAGTGCGGATGATGTACCTCTACAGTCTGTACAACGGTCAAAACTCGTCCGCGTTTAGGTGTGTATGACGGTAAAGCCGTCTTTGGGGCTATTATTACGTTCTACCTAGGTAGTTTTCGTGTCCCNCCGCGTTTAGGTGTGTATGACGGTAAAGCCGTCTTTGGGGCTATTATTACGTTCTACCTAGGTAGTTTTCGTGTCCCGACGACGTCTCTTTTGTGCTATCCTTGGTTGATATGGGTTCATCTTAAGGAGAAATATCAGGAACCACTTTTGTCGTGAACAGTGGTACCTTCAACTGGACAGTTAAACAGTTGATCCCATTTCGCCATAACTACTCTGTAGCTGTCATTAGTCAGCTTCTGTCAGTATCAGTTTGAACATTCTACAACTTTGAATTACCGATCGGTGTTCCGCGCAGCAATGTGCTTTAGCCAAACCTGTGAAGTTCGTAGTCCACGTAGATCTTGTGATGGTTTATCCGAATTCCATCAGCAGAGTGACCTTGTGGTTATAATAATGAATCGAGTCGAAGAAATTAATTGAAATACCGTAATATACTATGAACATGCTCATATTTTAGTACCGGCCCCAACCCGCTTTTTGGGGCATCTATTTTTGGGCACAGAAGCCAATCAGTCGTTTTGTATCATTCAATGCAAATATTGGATGATATGTACAAAGGGTTCTGTTACTAACATTTCCAACGAATTCTGTTGAATCAAAATGGCCCAGTAATGAGCAACGGATGTCTCTGATTTGCCTTTCGCTCTAATGCAATTATCATATCGAATTTCGACTATAAGCTCTTTATGCTCGTCGCTTTAAGGAGTAGCGGGTCAAATTGCACCATGGCCGACATTATGCTTTCAATAGTGCATTGGTGAAGTTTCGACCAAAATTGGAATTATTTTAAAGGATCCTTGCGTAGGAAAGTGGATGGCTTGATTCAGTTGTATGGCATCCGCCTGTGTATTCGCATGAGTATATGGGTTTTTAAGAAAATTCTTGAATCTGCGAGTTGCATCACGCGTGCGGTTTGTAACTAGGCGTCAATTGTGGGACGATGGCAGCATAAGTGATTAGGCCATTATTGCATAAGCTGAGCAAACAGCCATAATGTCGTCGCATCACGAAATCGCGGCCGACATAGTATATGGAGCATTATCATGCAGCTTTCAGAATTCATTATGCTGAAGCAATGCGGGCGCTGTGATTGCTTGCGGCAGCCTCACCTTCATTTCTCGATAAACGAGATTGATTCTGCACACAGTCGTCATCATCTCGAAAACAGTTTTGGTTAAGAGTTTTCATGATGATCCGATTACATGGGTAATTGATTGGTGTTCGAGCAACCTTATTTGTTCGTGAAGATGGTTCGTAGATGAGGGCATTATTTCTAAATGGTCCCTGGGAGGTTGAAATGTCGCTTTTCATCGGACGAAGACGATTGATCGTGCGATCCGCGTTGATCGTTTTACATTGAGGGCTTTCAGCAGCGCACTGTTGGCTGCTGCCTGGCTGCCGTTCACATTTGTCATCGTCCGAAGAAAGGCGAATTTGTATCGCGCACTATATAATATGACTGCGTTGGCGAACACGCGGTCTGCCTTTGTGCTGAAACAACACGAACGAGCACCAATGGGTGCAGGCGGCGGCTGTTACTGTAACGGCTAGTGCCTTGGTGAGAATTATTAATGTGCCATGCGCTTGAGCCCGCTCTATATTCTCTCACTGTCACAGATCGAAGAGAAATTCGTTTTTTTTTTCTCAGGAATAGCCCCTTGATTCCTAAAAGTAGTTTTTTGAAAGCCATCTCATCACTTGAGCATGGAGTCTGAAAAAAGAACTGGGATGAAGAAAAAAGTGTTCCAACTTACCAGCCTCAATGCAAAAGGGAAGCCTTTGTAGGTTCAGGTGGTGTTGGATCTGGGCAACGTTACACGAACTTGCATCAGCGGTCTCACCGCTGCAGATCGAATTCTTTTTTTACTCTTTTAGTCTTGGTATAGTTTTATGTGTTGTAGTTGTGTATTTTGCAATAATCATTCAGTATCGCTAATTGCGAAGAAAAAAGGGTCTTGTCAAGTGTCTTAAATATGAGTAGTGGCGCATAACCTAATTCTCGTTAAAATACTTTGACTCGAAACTTATTTTCCTTAAAAGTGCCATAACTTGGAACTCAGTGTAAGCATGTCTATGTCCATATGGTTAGTGGGACGGCGGGTTCCTATCTGCATCCATTCCCAATTATCCGTCACCATGAGTTCCATGAGGTTGTTTTGTGTCCGTCAGTTTATCTCGTTTCACTACTCCCCTGGGTCCTCCATCCCTCAATACGAATCATTCCGCTCGCTCTTATCGCTGTTTTATTAATTCCGGGTGTTGCGATCGGTCGCGTTTCGTAATTTTATAGCCAAGTGTAGTATTGTGAAGGCTTTTCGCCTAAGCTCCCATTACGAGAAGGTTCTAGAAATTCCGAAAGAAATTAGTCGAACAGAGCCCCGCTCCGCACCAGAGTTATATTTTGGACCATTTGTAGCCGGTGGAAAGAGAACAGTGGGTTGTGAAGGTGCCGTATTCAAAGCAATGACGATTGGGATGAGAAAGAGCGGCGAGCAGCCGCGTGTTTAAGGAAGCGCTTTCGTTCCTTCGCCGACAGTGGAGAAGGCAAGTGCCAGCCGTACTTCATTGTTCTTGGTGGATCGGTTGTGCTTTCGGCTTTCCCCGACTTGTTACATCAAAGCCAAACCCGCTGAAGTGTTGCAAATCCCGTGGTTCTTTGTGAATATGATGCGATTCTAGTCAAAGATTTTGGTGTGGTGGCAATTAAGAGCTCCTATGTTCCTAATGGTTTATGATTCAGGATCCAGAAGTACTCTACGCGTCACAATTGGAGCAGCTGGCTGGTATGGGTTTTTCGAATAGGGCACAAAACATTGCCGGTAAGCAATATTTCTCAGTTAATGAAGAGTTTGGTTGTTACATTTGTTGAAAAGTACAGTAAAGGTTCGAGGCGCTCGTCATTTCAGCATTGCGTGCTTCTTTTGGAGATTTGAATGCAGCTGTGGAACGTCTTCTAAACTCGCCATGAATCCATATTCTCTCACAAGAACTAATGGTTTTTCTCTTTTTCACTTCCTAATTTATCCGAGAACTTTGTGTCTAGCATAGCGCGCACTCCCGTTACAAAGTCGTGCCGTTGTATGTGGTTCGTTCGGTTCGTTTACTTATATGATAACATCTATTAACGGAAATCACCTTTGAACGTTTTATTGAAGAGTTCTATGAAAGCGAATGTCGTAGCGATCCCGTTTGTCTTGTCCTCCAGACTTTATATCGCCCACCTAACAGTCTCGCTTTTGCTGTTCAGCGGGAGTATGGTATTAATTTTTGCGAGAAGAGTATGTACAGCAGCTCGGCTCTGCTGTCATTGTGCAATTCCNTTTGTGATGATTGTTGATTTTAAAAACTGAAGCCGTGAATGTCGGAATTGCTTGTGTGGACGGCGGTAGTGCGTGTAGCTGCGAATGTTCTGTGATGATCCCCTCTTGTCTTGGCCATTCTACTCTATTCCGCTTCCAAACGCTTCCTTGTCGCCGATTTCTTCCAACTCGTTCTATTGTATTGTATCTTTCATTGAAATGTAGTTTGAGCGATAATAAATTGTCTATAAGGCTGTTTATCAAATCAATTTTAAGTCTTCATTGAAGCTCAGTGATGACGGCATGAAGAAACATTAGGAATATCATGTTTCCCGCCGTTCACCAGTGTTTTACGGGGGCTTAACGGAGGATCTCACGAGCGTGGGAAAAGATTTGACCCCTCCAAACCCGCCCATTCTCGAAGTCGTCGGCAGAAGGACTTCTAGTTCGAAGGATCAGTGCCAGCCGGCACTTCCTAGGTGCCTAATCCTTCTGACATTAATCTTATCACTGGTTCACCTGAGTTCTAGTGCTTCTCAAAAACTTCCTGTCGTTGTTTTAGAAAGGATAGTGATCCCACCCTCCTGTAGGGGTGATTCCTCTGAGGTTAGTTCTTTGAAGGATCTCGATCTTAATAATCAGGTTCCGATGTGTTAATAAATTACTCGATTTTAAACATTAAGGGACTTGGTTTTTCTGCTATGCCGGGACGATTGCCCGGTCTTAAGCCAACAGCATGGCGAATAGGAGGATAGGTCGAAGTGTAACGTTTAGCACAAGTGGGGATTCCATAGTCGACTAAAATATCCGTTATTTTCCTTTTAAACACTTTCGGTTGACAGTTCAATGGAAATATTCCATAGCTCAAGTTCGTGGGTGCATGGCCTTTTCTCTCCTTTTTCCTTTTTATTTTCTCTAAGGATCCACCAAATCGGGTTAAATTCCGCTGCTGTGCACCGTTTTTTGTTGTTCACTTCCAATCATTCAAAAAGTATATGGTTATTGATTTACTGTTTGTCAATCGGGTGAAAATCGTCCAAATGGCAAGCTGATGACCCCCTTCATCACTTAAATATGGGCTGCATGCCGCGTCTGTGTGTCGATTTGACTTATTTTGCTATGGGCAGGCATTATTGCGGAAATTAAAATGAAGCGCGAAGCCTCAATAAGGTCTCTTCAGATGGACGTGATAACGGCATAATGAGCATTCATCGTCTCGGCCGTATGAGCATCGGCATCAGCAGCAGCAGGCAGCAGCAGAACGATGAGCTGACGATGAAAGAAGAAGTTGTCAAATAAGCCATACTGATGGCAGGACGCATATGCACAGAATCGCTAGCCCTCATGGAACTGAGCTGTCGGAGGGTAGAGAGTTTGGGCGGAAACCGACGAAGAGCTGTGCCTCGGTTGACCCCGTGGTTGGCAACTTCGTTGAGGTTTACGATCAGCAACTGTGACGATCCATCATTGCGCGAATCGCCACTCAAATCGCACCGCCGAACAGAAGAACGCCAACATGTCACTCACTGACCACCTCAACAATCACACCGAAACACTTCTTCGTCTTTTTGTACCTTCGCTATTTCAGAATTTTCTCGAATCCACCCCAAACGCTGCTCCCTTCTCATTCTATGAACTGAGAGGATCTCGTTGTCGCTTGATTTGAATCCGGGGACGAATTAACTATGCTACTGTCATCGTCGATAATTGCCATATTTTTGTCAGAGCTCGGCAGAGCGTTGAATAATTCTGATGCGACTGCTGCGTTTAGGGCTCGATGCTCGTCTTCCGGCCCGGAAGAGCTCAGAGACGGCATGACTGAGAGGCAGTCAGAGACCTAATGCAAGCTTGAACTCATCTCATCAGCACATTCATGTCTCCAATAAGAAAACAACTCTATGCAGACGAAAAGCCATACTTCTAAGTTTCCTGGCAGAGCCAACCGGCTGCCTCATGCGATAGTGTGTAGTCACTCGGACGTGCGGTATACAATTCTAATAGTCTTAGCTATCTGACCTCTGCCATCACTACTGAATAGCTTTCGTACTGCCGGGGAAGCATCGTGGGCTCCTCAACATTATCCATGACAGCATCTACTCTGCAGGTCCCTTACGAAAAACTATGTTGGCAAGACCCACTCCCTTTTTTTCCTTTTCCAACTTCGTATCCCAACACCAACATCCATATTCTCCCTTTGGTACAGCACTTTTCCTACCTTTCCATGCTGCCAAGGCTCTGGGGATTTTCTCTTTTCAGAGTGCTGGATCGTTTTTTCAGAGTGTTGAAATAGTGCTTGATCGGATGGTTTCTCAGGTGCCTTTTGTCTTTCCAGGCTTCGAGGAAGGTGAAGGCACCGAAACGTCAGCCTAATAAAGTTTGTTAATATCTCGGTTGTACAGCTTAAAGAGTCAATTTCAAACTAAAGCTGGATCGTTTTTTCTTATCCGTGAACTCAGTGGAGGCTACGGTCTGAATTTCTTTTGGCCTTGACAAAGATTGGTTTCCTAAAAGTAGTAAGTCGCAATAATACTCTGAAACCCCTTTCCCTGATTGGCCTCATTTGAATAAACCGTAGAATGACCAATTAGAAATCATGCGTCGTTCCTGATCAGTGGTACGAGCACGCCCACATAAGAGAGTGCTCCCATTTCATGTAGCTCCCAGCATATTCTTCCAAACAACTGTTTGCCTGTGATTTTTCGTTTTATTTTGGTGATGCTCATGCTGATTTCTCTATCTATCGAACTTTCTGCCTCATGCATCTTTGACTGAACCTTGCTTCTTCTATCGGAGGGAACTAAGGGAGGTGGTCTTAGCGAGGTAAAGCGAAAGCGATGTATTATCTACTCCTTTGGCTTCAAAACCTTTCAGATGAAGTTTGACCGCTTCATAGCAGCAGTCGACCAAAACTTACCAGGAGCTCCGTCCGTTCCTGCTGTAGACTTCCCCCACGGCATCGTGCTTCCACCTGGGCCAGAGACGCACCAAGCGACAGTTGCTGGCGATGAATTATTGACGTAATACGGCTGAGATTTATGATCTGAGTCCCGATGTTTCGAATTTCTCTCGCTTGTCATAAAGCTCAGGCACAGACTGCTATCGATCCGTGGATCGAGATAGGATCTGGCTATAAAGTACTTTTTTCGGAATTACAGCAATGTATGGGGTCACCTCCGAAGGAACTTACGAAGCCACCCGTCGATTACCCTGATTTGTCGACACGGTCGCTTGGTTTCTTTGAGCAACGACGATGTGTCGTCGAGCCGATGCGCGAATTTTATGGCCAGCTGTCTGACCCCTTCCGTCCCCAGCCCCATATGAATACGATGCAATTAAGCTCGTTGTGACATTACTCCGCGATTAAGGCCTTATTAGGATCTTATTATAACGACACGCTCTCAGCTCATTAGTATGCAGAACAAGACAACAATGCCCCAAACAAACACGCATAAACATAACAGCACAGCCACCATGGCCAAGTGCTGGCTGGCTGGCCCTGCTGCCACCCAGATGTCGGGCTGCGCGGCGAAATCCGATTAGAGACATAGAATCGCTTTCGATGGACAATACTTTGGGATAAATAGCAAATCTCTGGGGTGCTTGTGTTAGCTGGGAGTCTCTACGACGCGGCGTTGATGACTCTACAGGGATGGATGCATTTTGTTGAAACTTTATGCTTACGTTTGGAACCGAGAGATCATTTTGCCCAGTATCTCTGGGATCATCAGTATCCCTAACATGGAGCGGAATGAGTCTGGATTTGATGAATCGTTCCTATGTTCGTCATTTGTGTTCGGGCGTGAAATAATTAAGCATGATGTTCAGGGGATAGAGAGTATGGGAGATGTGGAGATGGTGCTACAGATGGACACAGAGCTCTCAGAGAGATTTCATAGCAGATTGATGGACAGGAAACGATGAAAAATTATAAGCAGCTCTGCATATATTGCATGAGCGTATGAGCAGATAAGGCTTTTATGCGCAAACGCGAAGCTCTCTCAGTAATTGAACCTCATGCCTCTCTCCCTTTTTCCTCCTTTTTATTCCATCTTTATTCCTCCTTCATTCTCTACAAGGCGCGAATCCTTCTGCTAAGACGGTAGGGCTCGGAGTACGAAGAAGCTTCCTTTTCTCCTGCTATCCAGCAAACTATGAATTTCTCCCGGTTTTACCGTAAACCCCATTATAAGTCGGTACAAGCAGTTGGTCTGGGGACAATCACGATTCTGGGGTGATCGCTGGAAGCCTCTTGATGTCCGAGTTGCTGAAATACCTTGCTGTTTATACTTGGTCTCAACTACTGGAATTGTGTAGTAAAGTTGGCCTTTTTTTTATTTGCACAGTTGTTCGCCATGAAGAAAAAAGTACTTACGAGTTGCAATACTTTGTTCAATAAATTATTTCATTACTTTCTCTTACTCTGTCGACTTCAGCAGTAGAAACTTCACGTATTCCCACCACCCGTCCCCATTGTTTCGTCTCCTTTTTCCCTGTAATGGATGGGACTCTTGCCACCCCGGTCCCCTTNCCCCCCCCCCCCCCCCCCCCCTCCCGCCTGTGTACCGTTTAAAGTCGAACTTGCATCGGTCCCTTCATCGTGGCCGTTCCGTTTTTAGCGCCAGCGGCGGCACCGCGCTCGCAATGGCAGAGGCGCGTCAAGTGATGAGCG